GTCATCCCGCCATGTCCTTGGTTCCCTTTATCTCGTCTTGACTGACTGTCCAGGATGAGAGGGCGAGGTCTCATTTCAAGGGCTTGCTGCATTTCTGTGCTAATGAACCTTCTTCCCTCTCACACTCAGAGAAAGTACGTGGCGCGACTGGAGGACCTCCGTGAGGCTTTGGAGAACTCTCCCTTCTTCAAGACCCATGAGGTGCGAGCCCTGGGTGCCATAGGTGTATGTGGGCTCCCGTTTAGGGGTTCAGCAAGGGGGATTCCGGAAGGGAGGGAATGGAAGCATGCGTTCAAGCCAGGCGGTCTGGAGATATAAGGACTTTGGATTCTCCTCCATTTCTTTTTATTTCTAGGGCTGGGAGTCAAAACCAGGGTATCTCAATCACCGTGCTGTGTTTCCTAGGCTGGCCTTCTTGCCTCAGGCTTCCCCAGTGCTAGGATTACAGTGTGCTACTATGCTTGTTGTCACCATGTCTCTTAGGCACCTTGGTTCCTCAGAGACTGGTTGCGAGTCAGAGAAGAGTGGTACCTTCTCTTCTCCAAGCCCTTCCTTCTGCCCCTCAGCTCCCTCCCCTCTTCTTAGTGGCGTCTCTGGCTTTTCTAGAAAGCCCTGAGCTAGAAGTCCTGCCTATACAAATCTCAATCCCAGCTCTGCTTCTCCTCAGCCTCCTAAACCCAGGCAGCCACCCTGGGATACCTCAGGGTCTCTGGCACCTGGCGTGTGAGTGATAGCAGCCACTTGGGCACTGAAGGTTAAATAGGCTAATAGATTAGAGCCCAGCCCAGGGTAAGCCATCATGAGTGCCAGCTGTCACCGTCATCATGTTTGTTTTTGTTAAATGTCACCATTGTCACTGTTAGTATCTTCAGGCTTTATGTGGGAGGAGAGGCTTGTGGCCTAGTGCCTCCATTTTAAATATGAAATTTCACATAGAAATCAGCATTCCAATTTCCCTGACAGCTGAAGAGACATAGCAGTCCTGGATGCTGGCTGTATGGCAAAAGCATCCAGGCACTGCTGGTGTCTGCCTCTTTTCTGTTTGGTACTGGGGATTTGAACGCAGGGTCTCATGCCTGCCAGGCAAGTGCTCCACCACGGAGCTACATTCCAGCCTCACACCCTCCACTGTTTTAATGTAGCCCAGGCTGACCTGAGTTTTCTGCATAGCTGAGGATAGCCTAGCCTGCACTTGGGATCCCTCTGCCTTCACCTCCTGAGTGTGGGATGATGGGTGTGTCTCACCATGCTTGGGGGCGGTGATATTCTACCAACTGAGATGCAGCCCTGATTTTTTCATCCTTTTTTTTCCCCCCTTTTTAAGACAGAGTCTTACTATGTATCTTTGGCTAGTCTGGAACTCTGTGTAGACTAGGTTAGCCTCTTTTTAGCTAAGATTAAGGCCTGGCAGCATCTGGTTCTCCAGAAAGGCTCCTGTTCACCTGTCCAGGAATTGGGGTCTGGGAGCAAGGTGGAGTTGAAACCTGGCTTAAGACAGATGGAGGGGGTGTTGTAAAACCAGTTAGAGGACGGGAAGGCAGCAACTACTTCTTTTTGTCAGAAAGAGTAACTCCCTGGTGTATTGTTTTCGGGATTGTATTTAGAGTATGTAAATGTTGGATGGGGGGGCCTGTATGTACCACGGTACTCTCGTGGAGGTCACAGGACAGCCTGTGGGAGTCATTTCTCTCCTTCTGCCATGTGGGTTCCAGGAATTGAACTTGGGCATCAGGTTTGGTGGCAAGTGCCTTTATGATTTGAACCATCTCACCAGGCCATTTGGTTTTCAGATTGAGTTTCACTTTGTATCCCAGGCTGGCCTTGAACTCATAGACATCTGCCTGCCTCTGCCTTCTGAGTGCTAGAATTAACGGTGTGTGTCACTGTGACTGGCTTAGTGCCTTATTTTTTTTTTTTTTTTTTTTTGG